GGAGGGGGTAGAGAATCTTCATGAACTCAAGGGACCACTCCTGTAGGCGGCCGACGGACACCGCAGTTCCCTTGCGTCGCCAGTCGAGCAGTCGCTCATACACCTTGATCTCCATCGGGTGGTACCACGACACCCTGCCGCGACCGTGCATGCGGCACCTGGCAGAGTGGGCTTCCTTGAGGAAATCAGCGGCACGCTTCCAGTTGGCGAGGCACTTGCGGTGGATGCCACTCTCGCGAGCCAGAGCGCGCACCGACACCGCCACATCCAGCTGCGCGACCCACTTCAACTTCTCGGCGGCAGTATAGGCCTGACGCTTGTGGTCGTTGGGCTTGTGCCTGGGAGAGGGGGGGCGAGAATCACGGTTCTGTGAAGAAGGGTGAGGTCGCTTTCGATTACGTGGAGGATAAGTTGGTATCGGGAGTTTCTCGGGGAGGCCATCGCGTGACCAGTATTCGACGCCGTCGTCGTCGTCACCGCTCGGCGCACCCTCGGGAAACACATCCTCAGCAGTGCCGGCCTCAGTAGCGGCCTCGGTGTCGGCCTCAGTGCCACCCTCGGCGCCGGCGTCGCCCTCAGCGCGCCAAACTTCCTCGGCGTCTTGCACGTCGTCGTCAGCGCCGACTGCAGATTCATCCCACGTGAAATCTTCTGGCTGGCCCCAACGTGGTGCTGGCGCTGGAGCGGGTACGTCAACATCGGGGCCCTTGTCATAATCCGGTTCCGACAGATACTCGTCGAACGCCGATGGGAGCAGGAGCGTGAGCACGGGGTGGTTGTCAAAGCGAGGGGCCACCAGACACGGAGGAGACGGAGGAACAGGAGGAGCAGGGGGAGTCGGAGGCACTGGAGGAGCCGGAGGAGTTGGCGGCACAGGAGGCGCAGGAGGCGCAGGTGGCTCTGGAGGGTCTGGAGGTATGCGGCTATACCACCCGTCAGCTGTAACACAGTACGCGGGCCTACTAGAAGGTTTTTTCTTGAAGAGAAAATGAGTACCTGTGAATTCCGCCATGGCTTCCGCAGCCAGGCGGGCGAGAAAAAGAAGACTGAATGAAAAACTGCAACCCTGGGTGTTGAAATGGGAGATTGAAGGGGACCCCTTCTGGTTTGCGGCTCGGGGTCCTCGTCGATGAGAGACGAGTACACCCCTGCCCCAACCCGCGGAGGAGGGTTGGGGGCACCATCCATGCTGCGCTGGCACGGCAGATTCCATCACGTTCTGGATGCTTCTGCCGAGATGCTCCTGCCTGGCAGCGCATGCCTGTCAGAGGTCCACTGGTGATCCCCGATTGATCCTAGGGAAGGGTTACAGGCATGTTGGCCTGGGGGGTTATGGGCGCACTGACCCGCTACTTAACAAGCTCTTTTATCCCAATGGTCTAGTGGTTGGGATTCTGACATGGTATCAGAGCGAAGGTATCGGGTTCGAATCCCAGTGTGTGCACTTCGGGCATCCCAGTGCGGGGGGGTGTCAGAGGTCCACTGGTGATCCCCGATTGATCCTAGGGAAGGGTTACAGGCATGTTGGCCTGGGGGGTTATGGGCGCACTGACCCGCTACTTAACAAGCCCTTTTATCCCAATGGTCTAGTGGTTGGGATTCTGACATGGTATCAGAGCGAAGGTCTCGGGTTCGAATCCCAGCGTGTGCACTTCCGGCATCCCAGTGCGGGGGGGTGTCAGAGGTCCACTGGTGATCCCCGATTGATCCTAGGGAAGGGTTACAGGCATGTTGGCCTGGGGGGTTATGGGCGCACTGACCCGCTAATTAACAAGCCCTTTTATCCCAATGGTCTAGTGGTTGGGATTCTGACAATGCCAACCTGATTGGGCCGCACGGCAGGTTTTGCATCAGCGCTGGCAGGTGCGTTGCACCGGGACGGATTTTGTGCGGTGGGAAATTGAACCGTGGCAAGTTTCGCCGTCATTCCATGCACGACCCCGCGTGCATGGTACAGTGTTGTATTCGCCTTATTCACGGCTTCAGAATGATATCCTTTACAGAGAAATTCATTTTTACCTTTATAAAAGCGCCGGCGCTTATGGCCGTTACTCAATTACAAGCGCCCCCCCTAAACAAAATGAATTTATTATAAGCGCATATGCGCTACTATCCGGGGTGTTACGGTAGCTGTGCCTTCTTCTGTCTGTAGGCCAGAAGCTGGAGGTGGAGTAGGAGTAGTACCGAGAGATCCGTTGGAGGAGCTCCTCTCCTTTCGTGTTGCCATGTCTTGCATTGTTGTAGGTAATTTAAAAGGAGATGATCTTGCCCTGTCTGCTCTCATACCATGTTGGGCTGAAAAGGGCCCCTTAGGATCTTTCAAGGCGAAGATCAAGTGTTGAAGTAGAGATGTTGTATTTGCGGAAGCGTTTAATAAGAGTTACTCGAACCACCTTGTACTGGTGTGTGAGAACAAGATAAGTTGATTAATAGCAGGAAAATACAAGCCTTTTATATGATTACAAAGGAATATAAAAGTTATACTTTTAACTGTTTTTTGCTGTTGCGGTTCGATACAATGCCGACTCGGGTAACTGCTCAGTAACGAGTCAGTTATGTGTCCTTACTGTCGCAATGTAGTTTTCGTCAGGTCAAGGGTCAGTGACCAGGGCCTATGTTTGGTTTTTGGCTACTCACGATTAGCAGTGTAGCCTTTTTCAAAACCCTTCTGATCAGTGTGTAATTTTTCGTTACACTGATACATCAGTGTAACATTGAGTTTTGAAAAAATTACCCCAGAGCATCAGTGTAGTATATTTGTGTACCCTTATCGCATAAAACATTTGTAGTAAATTGGGCGCTGGTGGGTGGGGGTTGTGGGGACCTCGAGTCCCAAATTTGGGACTCGTGTGTCAGAATCCCAACCACTAGACCATTGGGATAAAATGGCTTGTTAAGTAGCGGGTCAGTGCGCCCATAACCCCCCAGGACAACGAGCCTGTAACCCTTCCCTAGGATCAATCGGGGATCACCAGTGGACCTCTGACACCCCCCCGCACTGGGATGCCCGAAGTGCACACACTGGGATTCGAACCCGAGACCTTCACTCTGATACCATGTCAGAATCCCAAACACTAGACCATTGGGATAAAAGGGCTTGTTAAGTAGCGGGTCAGTGCGCCCATAACCCCCCAGGACAACGAGCCTGTAACCCTTCCTTAGGATCAATTGGGGATCACCAGTGGACCTCTGACATCGTGTCCCCAAACCCACGTTTTCGCCAAGTCAGCAAGCTTCCCGTGGGGAACGTGGGTTTGGGGACCTCGAGCCCCAAATTTGGGACTCGTGTCCCCAAACCCACGTTTTCGCCGAGTCAGCAAGCTTCCTGGGGGGAACGTGGGTTTGGGGACCTCGAGTCTCAAATTTCCGAGTGAAGATAAAGTTTTTGCAGTGAGTGCAGATTTGACCAATCAGGTTGCATCGCCTCTACAGTACCGTATTCTCCCGGACAAAACACCCCCCCGTAATTGTACACCCCCGGGTAGCTTGTGCGGGGTGGGTGTTATGATAGACCTCGTTTCTACTATACCCCCCTTTTTTTGCTGATTTTCTATAACACCCCCCTTTTCTTACGAATTCGTTATAATAGTCGTTAACGAGTCGCTGCAATATTGAAGAATATCGCGAAAATTTCTCCCTAGATGAAATTTCGCGGTACATTCACTTACAATCTACCGAGATTTCCCCCCTCGCACTACTTCGTTGTGACCACGTGCAGGCGAATCTTCCGCTGCGAGTGGCAAGACAGGTGCCACATGGCATTTTCGTGGGGGTGATCAAGCTCGTGGCCGAAACCCACATTCGCGCCTCAGACAGTGATGTTAAAATGAAAATCAAAACACCCACATTGTCTAATTAAATAAACACGAACACTAAAATATACCATATGTAAAGACCCGGGTATTATGTATTTTTTTCCTGTGAGGAGACCCCCCCCATTTTTTCCCTGTATTTTTAGCTATACCCTAGGGTGCTATGTCCGGGAGAATACGGTAGGTTGCAAGCAGGCATGGAGTGACGCGGTGTCGGTTGTCAGTACTCACGTGCTGACGTCGTAGTACATCATTACGAAATTGAGTGTATCGTTACGAAATTTCTAGGAAACTTCGTCTCGATGAGTAGAGTTTCGAAGGGGGGGTGCCCTGTACGCCCTTAAGGGTAATCTTCGCTAAGGGAAAATTTACCCCAGAGCATCAGTGTGGCCTAAATCGTTTCATTGTCAAATCAGTGTAACACTAATTTTCAAAAAAAAAACCCAAACACATCAGTTTAGGCCCTAAATTTCACCCTTCTCATCAGTATACCAGTGTGATTTACACTGATAAAATAGGCCCTGTCAGTGACCTTTGACTTTTGCGTAACCTCTAGCGGTTGCTTTGGTTGACTCGAGTGTTTCTTCGCTGTAGTCAGCTCCATTTCGTGTCGACACTTCGATGCGATAGAAGCGTTTAAATTATTTGTTTCCAACATCGGTATCAGTGTAATGTGCAGCGCACCCTGATACCGGCAGGGTAACCGAAATCGTTATCAGTGTACTAAAAGACTCAGCCTTTTTTCACTAGGGTGAAAATTTCCATAGGCTGATTTGGCAAGGGTAACTGGGAAAAAGCGGCCTACCATCAGGGCAAAAAGGGTATTTACCCTGATAAAATAGGCCCTGCTTCAAGGGGGGCCAGTGCGAGTATCTCTTGTTACTTGTGTACGCTTCTTTCGTTGCACTGCGGTTCAAAACAGTGAAGCTCACTCACCGCTTTCCAATGTAGAGCCGCTAGGTATGAGGCATGCAGCATGTACTGTGATCGCACGCATTGGACACCTCCTTTACCATCACAAGTGGCATGCAGGAAGGCACGTCATGTGGGTGCATGGTGGGCTGGCGTGTGTGAATGGGTGGGTGGGGAGGGGAGTGCAGGAGCAGGGCAGTGGCAGCAGGAGTGCAGGGCATGCGGAGAAGGCCTGTAGGAGGGCCACTGTGTCTCCATGCCAGCAGAGCTGCACGCCTACAGCAGCAGGCGCCTGTTGGGGCGGTGCCGGCCCGCCACCTCCTCATGGCCTGCCCTGCCCTTCCCACATGCCTCCGCCTCCTGCCCACCTACCGTGCCCCCGTCACTGCTCGCCTGCACTGCACCCACCGCCCATGCACCTGCCGTTCCCATCTCGACTCCTGTGTGGAAGTTTGCTGCTTGCTGCTCCCCTTGCACCCATGCCTGCTCGCCTCCCTGCTGCTCTAGACGCTGCTGCCCTTGCGCATTCTCCCTCTGCTGCTGCTCCGCCGCCTGCCCTGCCCCTGAACGCACACACTCACGGCCCTCCTCTTCACCACTCTGCACCACCATCGCCATCCCCGCCTCGCCTCCTCTCTCCTCACCCACCTCACTCCCTCCCACCTCACCCCGCTCTAACTCACGCCTCCTCTTTCCTCGTCCCCTCCCCACTGCAGCACTGCCTCTCCTCCCTCCGCCACCCGCCCCTTGCATGCGCCCCACACCCGAGTCCCCACCCCTCTCGCCCCCACCGCTGTGCCCTCGCCTCCTCCCATTGCCACGCTCCCTGCTCGTCCCATCCACCCCCTGCTGCTGCACACCACCGCGCAGCACCCAGCACTTGCTACAGGCGGCTGTGCCACTGGCCGTGCTGCACTGGGTGCGTTGTGCCATGACCCGCCTGCTGCGCCGCACGCCCATGCCTGCCACACCGCACTGCACACACACCCTGCCATCACCACTGCCTGCTGCAACACCAGCGCCATCCGTGGCTGCTGACACCTCTCCGGCAGGGTGCACCACACCAGCTGTTGCTGCATGCGCGCGTGATTTGCCAATTATTCCGCCTCTCCCTGCACCTCCCTCGTCTACCCCGCTATCCCCCTCTGCCTCGCCACGGGAGCGTGAGGTCCGGCTGGTCGACCTACCCTGTGAGCGCCGCCTGCCAGTGTGGCGGCGCTGAGCGCTCACCATGACACCACCACCGCCACCACTACCACCCGCCTTGGCCTCCACCGCATCACCACCCCCACCGTGACTCGCCTCATCCCCACCTCCCCTGCCCCCCACGGCAGCGCCCCCTGCCGTGCGCATGTTGTGGCCCGTGATGGCATGGTAGCGCGCCCGTGGCAGGTGTGCCATGCGGCCAAACACCCGCTCGTACTCTCCCCACACCTCCCACCTGCCATGGCGCCCGCGCACATTGGCATGAGAAGAGGGTAGCAGGGAAATGCAGGGAGCGGTGTGAGCCCAGCAAGTGGCAGCAGTGTGATGTGAGGAGTGTGAGAGTAAGCAGGCGGCATGGTAGAGCCACGTGTGACAAGTTTCTCTGGCATGGTAGAGCCACGTGTGACAAGTTTCTCTGGCATGGTAGAGCCACGTGTGACATGTTTCTCTGGCATGGTAGAGCCACGTGTGACACGTTTCTCTGGCATGGACTGGCTTCGGCCATGCAGGATGCGCAACGCATGATGTGAGGCATGGCGGGAAGAAGACGGGGGGAGAATGAGGGAACAGGGCACATCATGAGGGCATGGAGCAAGGCAGCTTACCAGTAGGCGAGGAACTGGAAGGGCGCATGGGCGGCGTATGCTCGTGCTGCCAGTGCATCCACCGTGCCTGCCGTGCACCCCGCATGGCCCCTCGCCTGCACCATGGATGGGGAGGGGCAGAGAAGAACACGTGGTGTGGTGAGGTGCGCTGTGGTGCAGTGTTGTGTTGAAGATTAATACTTCGTAGTCTCTGAATTCAATTCATTGGTTTGAAGTTATTTAGTGCAGTGTTTGAGTGCAGAACATCATCCAGGTCATGCTTTATAAGAAACAAGTGCAATTGATCCACAGCATGGCTGTGGCATGGCATGGCATGGCATGGCATGGTATTGTATGGCATGGCATGGCATGGCATCATATTTGTATGGCCATGGCATGGCATGGTATTGTATGGTATGGCCATGGGGCGTGGCATGGCACACAGACCTGGAGGTGGCGGACGGTTTCGGAGTCAGCGGGCACGAAGCAGAAGACGCCCATGCACTGCAGCGCGTTGGCCGATGAGAACGGCCCAAACCCTGGCAAGCGCTGCACCCTCTGCCTCCGCCTCCTCCCACCCCACCTCCCCTTCCTTGCCCCTCCCACTCCCCTTCCTCCTCCCCGTGCCTGCTTGCCTCCCCCGCATGGCGCTGTGGGTCTGCACCGCAGTGCCAGAGCAGGGCACCTCCTCACGCGCTGTGGGGCTGCAGTTGCCACGCACCACAGGCGCCTGCTTCTCCTCCGCTGCCTTCGCTGCCTTCATCTCTCCTCCACCGTCGTCCCAACTCCTTCTTCGCTTCCTCCTGCAAGCCCCTCCAATCGCATCCACCCCCACATCGCCTGCACCTCGTGCTCTTGCCCTTTGGCTCATCTCCTCGCCCTCGCTTCTCTGCTTGTTCCTCGCCCCACCTCCTACAGCCGGCTCATCTGCCATCTCGCTCACCGTGCCTACTGTTGCCACGTCACCGCCGCTTGGCGAATTCTCCTGCAGGCAATCCCTCTGGAGTGCTTCCAGGTCAATGGCACCAGATGCCACGTCAGCTGCCAGCCTGGCTATCCGTGGGCCTCGGTACCCCAGCCCACACCTGCTAGTTAGGTACGAGATCTCCAAGCGTGCAAGCTCGTGAGGCTCGGGAAACGCACCAACACACTCAGGCGAATCTGCAAAGAGGAGGAGAACGCGGGGAAGGCAATGAGCAAGAGAGGTGGAATGCAGTGATGAATGGCCGGGTGGCATGAGAGAGGGAGAGCAGGCAGCAAGTGGTTGGTGGCAGCTAGAGCCCGGGTTGGCGTGCCTGGTGTGACAGCAGCCTTCCCAGCAGTCAGCCAGCAAGGCCCGCCACCATCGCCAGCAAGGCCCACCACCATCAGCTATTGGCATCTTTCACAGCAGGCCTTACTGCCACATGAGTATGTTCCTGAGCACGACTCACTCACAGGCCTAGCATCTTACCACACCTCCACATCCATCACCGTATGTGTGTGCATGGTGGTGAGCACAAGCGTGCAGTGGAGCATGGAATGAATGAATGAGGGTGTGAGGGCTCACCGCGTGCGCCGAGGGGAGGGCCAAAGTGGTGGCGGTGCAAGAGGCAGAGCGCACGTGCCATGCCGAGACTCCTGCCCCACCCGCCTGCATGCCACACCGCACAGCACAGCACAGCACAGCACGGCACGGCACGGCACGGCACGGCACAGCACAGCACAAGGGAGGCTTGGTAGGTTGAAGAAGGGACAGACAGGCGAGGATGCGAACAAAATGAAGGGAGGAGGGGAAGGGGAGTCAAAGGGGAGAGAGTGGAGAGTATGTGAGTCGGAACCCGAAACACGCAGACTTTCATGAGACAAGGGGTGGTTCCAGGCTCACAGTTGTACAGCAGCTGCTCCTGACTTCACTCACAGTTGCACAGCAGCTGCGCCTGACTTCACTCACAGTTGCACAGCAGCTGCGCCTGACTTCACTCATAGTTGCACAGCAGCTGCGCCTGACTTCACTCACAGTTGCACAGCAGCTGCGCCTGACTTCACTCACAGTTGCACAGCAGCTGCGCCTGACTTCACTCACAGTTGCACAGCAGCTGCGCCTGACTTCACTCACAGTTGCACAGCAGCTGCGCCTGACTTCACTCACAGTTGCACAGCAGCTGCGCCTGACTTCACTCACAGTTGCACAGCAGCTGCGCCTGACTTCACTCACAGTTGCACAGCAGCTGCGCCTTGACGAGGTCCTCAAAGAGCGACGGCGACCGGAAGAGGCGCCCGAAGCCGGCAGCAGCGGCAGCGGGATGGCGGCGGTGGAAGGCTTGCACGGCGGCCTGGCAGGCGGGGGACAGCCGCAGCATGCGCTGCACCTGCGCCTGCAGGGGTGATGAGAGGGCAGGGGCGGGAGGCAGGAGGTGGGGAAGAGTGCATGGGGCGTGGGTGGGCAGCACGAGGTCAGTCAGCAGGTAGGTGAGCCAGCGAAGCTCCTGTGCAGCCATGGCCCCAGCGTAGATCTCAGCCTCACAACTGGAGCCGAGAACAGAAGACGAGCGGGTAGCCCGCCACGAAACAGAACCGGAACCAAGGCTGAAGGTGTAACCCTGTGACGACCGCTGCGTAGCCTGGTCGTCAGCCCTAGAAGCGTCTGCGTGCCCAGTGAGGACCACTGGACTCTGCCCTCCAAGCACAAGCCCCATGCCCGACGTACTGCACAAGTAGCGCAACACCCTCTTCGCTGCAGCCATGTGCTCCGGTCTGTGTCTCCCAGGAGCAACATAGCGTGCGAGAATGCTAAGAGGGTATGCAAGGTCAGGTCGTGTGCAGGTCATCAGGTACATGAGGCAGCCAACAAGCTCTGGGTACGGGCCACTCGACTCTACGGACTCATCCGAAGGCAGAGCTGAGAGCGAGTGGTGAGTAGGCAGAGGAGTTGCCTGAGGCGAGGAGTACGTGAAGCCGAAGCGCTGAAGGACCTGCTGCACCATGTGTGACTGAGTCAGGGTAATGGTGCGGCGTGCTCTGTCCCGGGTGATCTGCAAGCCAAGGTAGCTGCGCAGTTCACCCAGGTCTGTGCACGTGTGTCTCTTCTGCAGCTCGGACTTCACGTGGGCGAGTCCAGCAGTGTCAGCTGTGGCAAAGACCAAGTCGTCGACGTACACGAGGATGTAGAACGGCGGCAAAGAAGTGTCGGTGCGCAGAAACAGCGACGGGTCGGCAGTAGAGGGAGCAAACCCAAGAGCCGCAAGTGTAGTCCTCAGTGTGTCGTGCCACTCACGCGGTGCCTGGCGGAGACCGTAGACTGGCCGCCGGAGGCTCCACTGGGTGCCAGGAGGAAAAGACCCAGTGAAGCCAGGTGGGCGACGCAGCCAGATCTCCTCGTGCAGGCTACCCTGCAAGAAAGCAGTGCTGAAGTCAAGAGAGTGTAGCTCGTAGTCGCGGTGAGCAGCTACGTGCAGCAGTACCCGAAGAGTGGTCATCTTCGGGGTGGGAGAGAAGGTCTGAAAGTAGTCAACTCCCTGCCGCTGACTAAAGCCACGAGCCACGTAACGCGCCTTGAAGACAGGCGGAGAACCCGGCGGCCGCTTCACCCTGAAAATCCACATGCCACTGACGATGTTCGCCCCAGGCGGGGGAACCTCGTCGACGTAGGTGCCTGTGGACTTCCAGGAAGCCATCTCTGCGTCCATAGCTGCCTGCCACTGAGAGGAGTAGGGACCCTCTATCGCCTCCGCGTAAGAGCGCGGAGTCGGGATGTCAAGTGCATCCGGGTCTCCCTCAGGGGTAAGCAGTACGGACACGAGATGAGGTGAAGCAGCAGCCAAACACTGGAACTCCTCCTGCCTGTCCTCAAGGACGTCCGTGCCAAGGGCACACTCACCCCCGACGGACGGAGGACAGACAGACTCAGCAACAAGACTAGCAGCGTAGTCTAGACGACAGCGAGCAGCAAAGTCGACGAGCTCAGTAACTAGGGCAGACGCAGCAGTGGACTCAAAGGAAGGGTCAGTGACAACAGTAGCAAGGAGACGTGTGACAGTAGGACTGGCAGCACGAAGAGAGTCCGACTCCGGGTCAGGAAGAGCAGGAAGAGAGGACTCAGGAGGAGAAGGCAAAGGGGCACGCAGAGGAGCAGTGGACGGACGCAGAGACATCCGGTGCGTGCCAGGGACAGGAGGAGGACGCTGACGCGAACCACGACCACTAGTGCGAGCAGCACGGACAGGCGACGCAGGGCGGGACGCAGGCTCACGACGCTCAGCAAGACCTCCAGTAGGACCAGTGTAGGGAGAGGGAGCGGGCAGTGGGGAGGCCGGCTGTAACTGGAACTGTGACGGGACAGGCTGTGGACACTCGAAGGGAGGAGGAGGACCAGTAGAAGGCGGGAGACCAAGAACCTGCTGAAGGAGCGGAACGAAGTACGGCCGAGGCCGCGCGGCGACTCCAGACACAGCAGGGACAGCACCAGTACCCCCAGCGGCAGCACCAGCGCCAGCAGCACCTCCAGCTCCAGGACCTCCAGCCGCACCAGTAGTACCCCCAGCAAGACCGCCTCCAGGACCGACAGCAGTAGCCTCAGCGTCAAGACCCTCAGCAGCTCCAGCTCCAGTCGTACCCGCAGGCCCAGCAGCTCCAGTACTCCCAGGACGAGCACCTCCGGGACCCACGGCACCAGCACCCTCAGCAGCCGAAGAACCTCCAGCTCGAGCAGCACGCCTCCAGCGCCGAGCAAACCACTCGCGCAGCTCCTGTGGAGAGAGTGGCTCCCGCCGAGACGAAGCACCCGGAGAACCTCCAGGCTCAGCACCGCCAGACGCCACACGAGCAGGCCCAGCTCCCTCAGGCTCCGCACCCCCAGGCTCAGCACCCCCAGGCTCAGCACCCCCAGTAGTAGCACCCCCAGGCTCAGCACCCCCAGGCTCAGGACCCCCAGTAGTAGCACCCTCCGGCTCAGCACCCCCAGGCGTAGCACCCACACGCTCAGCACCCCCAGAGTCAGCACCCCCAGGCTCAGCACCCTCAGCAGCACCAGAGTCACCAGTAACCTCGACAGGCTCGATTGCGTCTACCTGGGACACACCTGAAGGGGCAGGACCCTGAGGGGGGAGGGGGTCTACCGGGGGGGGACCTGGTACAAGGAAGAGCGGTGGCGGGGGGAGGGACGGAGTGCGGTAGGGGAAGAGGCGGTAGTAGGGGACCGACTCGTCAAACGTGACGTCCTGGGAGGACAGAACACGGCGAGAGGTGGGGTGGTAGAACTGCCACCCTGGCGCGTCAGGGGGGAAGCCAAGGAAGACGCAAGGAGCAGCACGAGGGGACAGCTTGTCCGCAGACAAGTCGCGGACAAACGCCCGAGATCCCCAGACACGGAACGCAGACGCATCGCCAACCTTCCCCGTCCACAGCAAGGCTGGGGAGGTCTCCGGCATGGAGACCCTGGGGTGAAGGTTGATCTGATGCGCCGCGTACCGAACAGCAAACGGCCACAGAAAATGGGGGGCAGCCGCATGCATCATGGACGTACGGGCGACGTCCATGACCATGCCAATGCGGCGCTCAGCAATCCCATTTTGCTGTGGAGATTCCGGAAGCGTGAAGGTCTGGCGGATGCCTCGTGCACGACAGTAGGCTCGCAGAAGGCCAGAGGAGAACTCTCCACCTCTGTCAGAGTGCAGACGCAGAACAGGAAAGTCCGAGCCGAAGCTCTGCCTGAGCTGGAGACGAGCTGCGCGGATCCAGTCGATCAACACCTCAGTGACATCACCCTTGCTGCGCAAGGGGAAGACTGTGGTGTAACGCGAGTAGTCGTCAACCACCAGCAGGAAGTAGCGCTCGTGACCCTGTCCACGGACGCGGGCCGGGCCCCACACGTCCATGTGAAGCGTCTGCAGCGGGGCCTCTGTCGGAGGAAACTGGGAGGAGTGAGGGGCAGCCCGCTGCCGCCCCTCGACACAGGGGACGCAGGTAGGGCCAGGCCCCGGAGGAAGGGGAGGGAGGGACCGGGGAAGACCAGAGACAAGGACACGGGAGGCCATGCCTCGGAGACGAAGCAGGGAGGGGTGACCAAGGCGGTGGTGCCAGAGGAGAGTCTCGTGAGACAGGAGGCGACACGAACAGGGGGCAGACTCAGGACCAGACCTGGACGCTGCAGCAAACACCTGACCTGACGCAGCTACCTGACCAGACGCAGTGACCGGAGGAGACGCAGTGGTCAGTGTGTACAGGCTCGACCCCGGCCGACGTGTAAACGTGGCCAGGTGTCGGCCTGTCCGAGCGTCCGTGCAGTGGGTCACCCGCTGACTCGCAGGAGTGAACTGGTGAACCCCCGCATCCTGTAGGTCAGCACCACTCACCAAGTTCGTAGAGAACGAGGGGAGGTAAAGACCAGACAGGGTGCCAGAGGGGGCCGCCGGACACAGGAGGACAGTGGAGAAGTGAGCAAGGACAGGACCCCCAGAGGGGTCTGCCAGAGAGACTGCAACTGGCCGGCCAAGCGGCGTGAGTGTGGTGCGGTCTCGAAAGAAGGAGCGAGAAGCCCCCGAGTCAAGGGTGAAGGTGTGGGAGGCCGAAGCCGACGCAGAACCTGAGAGAGCAGACTCACCAGCACCTGAGGGAGCAGACGCACCTAGAGCAGCAGCCTCGCTAGCACCTAGAGCAGCAGCCTCACCAGTACCTAGAGCAGCAGTCTCAATGCCCGGGTCGGGCGGAAAACACCGGTAACAGTCACCCTCATCACTAATAGTCACAGTATACATGGCAGCAAGAATAGCATCAAAGTCAAGGTCAAAGACAGCTACACCCGCCCTAGACAGCTCACCCCAGCGGGGGATCTCAGTGGCCTCAGGGAACTGGTGACGCCAAGCGTCCGTCAGGCGGCCAAAGCAGCGCTGGGTGGAGTGCGCACCCCCGCACTGGTCACCCGCGCGGTCGCCGGTGCGGAGGACGTAGGTGCACGGACCAGTACCCCCACCCCTCTGGCGTGCAGTGAACCACTCACGGAGCTGCTGAGGGGAGGGGATGTCACGAGTGCGCTGCTGCTGCTGCTGCTGCTGCTGCTGCTGGCGCTGACCACCACCGGAGCCGACCCTCTGCGCAGCGCCACCCCGACCAGCTCCACCTCCTCCGCCGCCTCCTCCTCCACCGCCGCCACCTCCGCTCCCACCGCCACCGCCGCCTCCGCCTCCGCCTCCACCCCCACCCCCTCCACCGACACCTCCACCCCCGCCACCACCTCCACCGCCACCCCCACCCCCTCCACCGCCTCCACCTCCGCCTCCACCGCCCCCGCTAGCTCCTCCAGTGCCCCTGCCCCCCTTGCCCTTGCCAGGGCGACGTCTCCCGCTAGGGGTAGACGCCGCACCGACCGACTCAAGCCCAACGAGGTCGGTCGCAGCAGCAGAGGCAACAGAGGGCAAAAGGGGGGAGGGGGAACACCCCTCAAAGATGGGGGTGCGAGGGTCACCACGAGAGGCTCCTACAGCGACTATGCTCTTCTCTGCTG